ACTCAACTTTCTCATTCTGTGGGCCAACAAGCCTGCTACTCTGTCTCATGCCAGTTTCTTGGTTCTGCTGCTTCTGTCTCTCTGCCGTTATCTCAGCTCAGGGATCTCAGGTTGAAGCCACTCATGGCTCTTCTGTGTCTTGATGATAGTGAGATTCCCCTCTTCCGCCTCTGGGAGGGTTCATTTTAAGTCTGGTGGAATGACAGAACTGACCAATCCTTGCATTAGGGTTCCATACACCTTATTTCACATGGTCCCACCCCAACAAGAGTTCCACATAACTTATTTACATCACTAACAAACTATCCAGTCCCCTTGATGGGCCACAAGCATCTTATATTTGCATAGTTCCACCATCATCAGGAGTCACAAAGGCCATGGCTAAAAGAGCCATACAAAGTAATTCACTGCCCCATAGGAAAAATATTCCCACTTGGAGACACTATACTGATTGCATAGAACTGGAAGTTAAGAATGCCAGCTGGCCATTTTGGGCTGCTAATGCCTCTGGATCAACACAGAGAAGGGAGTTACTATATCATCTGGTATAAATGATCCTGCTTATTAAGGAGAAATTAGATTGATATTACATAATGGAGGTAAAGAAGAGTATATCTGGAATACAGGAGATTCCTTAGGACATCTCTTTAGCACTACCTGGCCCTATGATAAAAGTCAATCCTGATATGACTACTAATGCCCCAGACCCTTTAGGAATGAAGGTTTGGGTCTTCCCACCAGGCAAAGAAACACAACCAGCTGAGGTGCTTGTGGAGGGCAGAGAGAATACAGAATGGATGGTGGAGGAAGGTACTTCTAAATAGCAGCTACAAACACGTGACCAGTTGCAGAAATAAGAACTTTGATTGTTACAAGTATTTTTCCTTACATATGTATATCAAAAGTTTTGTTTTCATTTATAAAATATAAATTGTAAATGGGGCTGATGTGTTTTCAGTCATATGCATATTAGTTGTATAATGTTCGGCGCAAGTATAACTTTATAGTTGTTTTTATTTAGAGATTATGTATTGTTTAGGGAGATGTGTACAGTTGTCAAGTTGACAAGGGGTGGACTGTGATAGTTAAGATTGTGAGTCACCTTGGCTGGGCCATGATTCTCAGTGTTTAGTAGTTATGATGTAGTCATCTCATCTGAGTTGAAGACAACTTCCCTTCAACTGATTAGGTGCTCACAGCCGATTCCACTGTGGGGGTAATTACAGTCTCATCATAGGGAATAACTACACCCAGCTGCCAAGCCATTCGAAACCACGGCCTAGCCAAGTTGACACACAACCTTAACTACCACATCCTCATGATGAGATCTGATAAAATGTAATCACTTCCATGATGAGCCCTGCTATGAGCAGCCAGTCAGTTTAAAGGGAGTTTTCCTTTGTGGGGGTGCTGCTTCCAGTACATAGATGACCTGGTAAAGCTGTCTGGCTTTTTGCTTGATCTGGATCCTCCATCTGGCTCATCTGACCTCTGGTTCTTGGACTTGAATCAGTGGCTCACCATATTACCTGCCACAGTATCTGGGGATTGTTGCCTTCATAGCCTGTGAGCCAATAGCCTGCCATCTCACCTGCCTCTACATCAGGAAAAGCCTCCAGCCTGATGTGGGACCCACGGACTTGGGACTTGGCAGCATCTACAACTGCATGAGCCATTTCCTTGAGATAACTTCTCTCCCTCTCTCTCTCTCTATATATATGCTTCACTGATTTTGCTTCTCTAGAGAACCCAGCGTAAGACCCCTGGGGAAGTGTTGATTGAGGTCAGTTCAGAAACAATGAGTAGGCATTAACTGGGTGATGGGGCAAGAAAGAACATTCTAGGCTGAGGAAATAGCATGTAAAAAGGACCTGTGCAGGAAGGGATATGGCTGCAAGGTCAGCATGAGTGGAACAGTGAAGAGATGGAAGAGTTTGAAAGTGGGCTGTGGCCAACCATGGCAGGGCCTTGCGGCCCACATTAAGGAGTTTGGACTTTATTCTAAGATCCACATCAAGAGTTTTAAGTAGATGGTGACATCATCAGATTTGCATTTTGCAAAGATTAGCTAGGTGAAGGGGCAGTGCAGAGAACAAATTAGAGGGGGTAAGAGTGGATGAAGGAAAATCTAGTGGGGGCTAAAGATAATGAGAGGTTGGTGCAGGGTAGTGGTAGAGGAAAATGGTGGATTTGATAAGTCAGTAAGGAGTACAATTGTCAGGGCTCATGATGGATTGATGGGGATGTAGGGATGCAGGAGAAGTTAAGGTGGAGTCCAGGACCACTGTCCTGCCCTGAGCTCAGCCTTGGACCAGTAGTTCCCCCAGCACCTGCCTGGCCCCAGGGTCCCTGAATGGGAACAGGGGTCTCTTCTTCATCTCTGGGTCCCCCCTCTGTTCTTCCTCCAGGAGATTGTGACTGCTTTGAGCTGTGGCAAGAACATTGTGCCCATCATAGATGGCTTCGAGTGGCCTGAGCCCCAGGCCCTACCTGAAGACATGCAGGCTGTGCTCACCTTCAATGGCATCAAGTGAGCACAGGGTCCTGGGAAATGAGGGCAAGGGAGGTGGATACAAATCACCCACGAGGCAGCGTAAAGGCAAAGCAAACACCGCATCCCCCCGGCTAGGAGCTCCCTCTCCTGAGCCTTCTGAACCATGTGGCCTCTGTGCCCACAGGTGGTCCCATGAGTACCAAGAGGCCACCATCGAGAAGATCATCCGCTTCCTGCAGGGCCGCTCCTCCCGGGACTCGTCTGCCGGCTCCGACACCAGTTTGGAGGGTGCTGCACCAATGAACTCAACTTAATGCCTCCCACTTCCCAAGCTCTTCGGTGATCCCCACTTCCACCATCCGCCCTGGGGGAGCAGCCCTTCAAACTGGCCTCCCCAGGCTGACACAGCCTGGACTTTTCTCAGGAAATGGCTCTCCCTCTCCCCTACCCTCATAGCCCACCTGTTACTTGCAAAGGGGAGGGAAGGTAGGCATAGAGGGTGGTGAGGGTTAGGCCTCCCCCAGGCCTTGCTGTCACCACCAAGCCTGCCCTCGGGCTCTGTCCCAGGTATGGGCAGGGTCAGTGCTCAGTTCTGGAGATGGGATTTGCTGTACACTTCCCCTCGCCTGCCTTGACTGTAACCAGCTTGAGTAACTGGAAGGCAGGCAGCCCTTCTATAGTTTGTGTACCATCGCTCCAGGCTAGGCAGGGATGAGTGCAGTAACGGCTCTCCATCAGGACTGTGCCTGGCCCCTGGCTCACCACTTACTGCCACCCTTGGCCTTGCCCTGGAACCACTCAGTGCCCTTAGCCAGCTGGCCTATTCTCCAGTCTTCCTGAGGACCAGCCTCTGCCACATCCGGGTCAGCTAAGCCCTCACTCTGGCAGGTCTGTAGCTGTGGCTGGCTTTGCTATACTATCACACAGGAGCCCCCTGCTTGGGCTTGGGCAAGGAGAGGCCATGTCTTGAGCCCACCTTACCTGATGCCTCAGTATTGTGCCCAGTTGCCTTCCCCAGCCCCTCACTCATCTAAGGCTGCTCAGGGGGCAAGTCAGCAGGAGCCTGGGCAGAAGATCAACAGTTATTACCTAGGGCAGTTTCTCCAACTTTAATGTGCATTCCAGTTACCTGGAGGACCTTGTTAAAATGCCGATTTGATTGAGGAGATGAGATCTGCATTTTCCACAAATTCTCTGGTGAGTTGATGTGAGGGGACACTAGGCTCTGAAACACAAATACCTTACAAATCTTTGGCGTTTCCTAAACACTCCACTCCCTGGTCTCTGTAATCATCACAGTAACTCTATCAGTGACTGTGCCCTTCTGGTTAGCAGTCAAATGCCTTAGGCACTATACCACCAGAGCTCCTCTCCATTTTACAGGTAAGGAAATTGAAGCTCAGAAAGGTTGAGTGGTGTGCCCAGGTTCCCAACTGGTTAATGGCAGCCCCAGTAACCAGACCCAGGCTTTCCCACACCCCAGATGACTGCTTGATGGTGCTCTGGGAGGATATTCCTGGAGGCTTCTCCCTTGCCCCAGAGAATCTGGCAGTGGGGAATGGGTTTCTAGCAGCAAAATGCTGACCTAGGGCCCACACAGGAATGTCCTTCCCCTCCCTCTACCAGGGCAGAAGGGCAAGGGAGTGCCCTCCCTCCAATAATCCAGGCTCCAGCTAGTGGGATCAGCTGGAACCTGCCCTGCCCCTTCCCTCCTAAGGGCAGTGGGTTCACACCTCAAGGCTGGCTCAGCTCCCAGCCCCCACCCTTAAGGCACTGGCCAGGTCACTCCTGGCTCTCCAGCCATATCATCCAAGTCAAAGGCCTCCCTGCAGCACTCCTGACCCCTCCTTCCACTCCCTACCCTGCCAAAGATACAGTCTTCGGCATCCTGGCCTGGCTCTGGGTGCACTTGGTTTCCTGTCAGCCCTCCTTCCTTCTTTCATGCAACAGAAGACCCCACCAGTGCCAGTCCCAGGGCAAGGCCCTGGCTAACAGAAAATGAGGCGGACTGGACACTGCCCACAGAGCAGACAATACCAGTAGTATGAGTGTCTTCCAGCGAAGCTTTTTGTCATCTTGTTCCCCATCAGTCCTGCTTCCCTGAAACTTCCACAGGCAATGCTTGGAGGTTCCCTGGCCTTTTCCTATTTGGCACACCCTCCATTGCTCCCCACCCCCATTCCCTGGCCTTCTGGTTGACCTCTGTCCCCTTCTGCTCCCTGGGGAATCAGAGCCCAGACTCTGGCCCCAGCCACAGCAGCTGAAGGGTGACCCTCCCTCTCACCAACCACTGTGTTCAGGGCTGACTGGCTTGCCATGACAAACACCACGCGGCCCACAGCCAGGTCAAGGACCTAGGCCTGGCCTGCTCTGCAGGCTCGGAGTTTTCTGCTTAGCTGGACTGCAACTGCTGCTCCCAGATTGGGGCTGAGTCAACCAGGTCCTCACCTCATCTCCCAGGGACCCAGAACTCAGGAACACAGAATGGAAAAGGCCATTCTGCCCCTTGGGCCAAAAGTCCAGCCACAATTCATTCATCCTTCCCCAGGCCCAGCCAGGGCAATGGAGAGACATTTTTCTAGAATGTATGAACTGGGAGGGCTCTCAGAACATCATCTAATCCAGTGTTTCCAAACTTTGTCCAATCAGGTGGGATCTCTGTAACGAGACAATTTGGGGGGTTGCTGATCTACTCCTTCAGAGGGGGCCTGCTCACAGTCACACAGCTAGCCTAGGGCAGTGCCCAGAGGACGACCCAGGCTTAGGCCAGTTCAGTTTTTTTTCCTACTCCTCACTTCCTCAGTCAGTGGAAGGGCTTCTCCTTGCCTAGGTCTCCCAACTACAGAAGGAACAGTGAAGCCTGGAAACAAGGGCATAGGCTGCCCCCAGCTGGACCCTGGCTGCCCTCACTTGTGTGACTTCTGGCCAGGAAATGCTAGCTAGCAGGGCAGGTGAGAGCTGATGCAGGTAGAAATGGCAGCACTGGGTAGTAAAGCCCTGTGGTAGTTATGCTTGTGTGTCAACTTGGCTGGGCCTGGTTGAGTGGCTGGGCAGCTGCTGATAGTTATTCCCCGTGATGAGACTGGCAATCAACTCCATGGTGGGATCTACCACAAGCAGCTGAGTAGCTGCCTTTGGGATGTGGTCTGCTTCATGTATATAAGGGAAAGCCTTGGGAATGGTGTCCAACTTATGGCACCTTGAATCCTGCATGTAGCTATGTCATTGTTCAGCAGCCTGCCATGCTCTGCAGACCTTGGGACTTACAATGAACTTGAATTAATAGCCTGCCTGTGATTGGGTAACATCACAGTACCTTTTTACTTGGCAACCTTGGGCTTGGCAGCCTCAGCAGCTGTCTGAGTGAGAAAAAGCCTTTAGCTTCAGTGGACTGGGAGCTGGAGGCAGAGCTGAAGCCCAAGGCTAAGGGGCTTTTACCCAGCCCTTAGAGCCTGGCACTTTGAACTTGGACTTAAAACCTCCAAATTGTAAGAATAAACTCCTGTTTGTTAAGGTCATCCCATTGGTGGTATATTTCTTGTCAGAGCAGCACTAGGTAACCACAACAGGCCCTATGGCCAACTCTGGATGGAAGAGTCAAGTGCTACTTTGACTTGCATCTGTGCCAGTGCCTTAATGTTAGATTCTGCCTGTCAACTTCAGATCCAGACCTTCCAAACTCCCTAGAAATGGGAACCTAATTCTCTGTGAGAAGCAAGGGTCCCTGAGTCATATGGGGATGGTCTCAGCACATGGCTCTGCTAAAATGCCCATTGATAGATGTTGGAGGGCTGCATGGTAACAGGTGTACAGATGTCTTCAAGGAGTGGATCTCTGACCCTCAGGAACGAGGAACCAAGGCGCTGTCCCCAGCTTCTCCGCTAGCCTTCTGCAAGCCTGGCAGCCCATCTCCTAGCAGCTCAGAAGAAAATGGGGATCTCGATGAGGCCTGGGCTGCCCACACCAGTACCAAGCCTGTGGGCCACCCAGGGGCTCCTGCCCATCCCAGTACCTACTGTCCTCTGACCTGTGACAGGCAGACCAGAAGCATGCCCTGGGGGCTAGAAGGTTCATTTCAGTGGGCTTATAGAAATTTATTATGACTGGCATGGTGAGTCCTGGGACAGACAGATCATAGCCAAGGACTGGCTCCCCACTACAGACAGTAGCCCTTACCCTTCAAAGAACCCCAAGCCCTTCCACAACCCACCCACCCCACAAAGCTGGCACTAATGTGGCACCATATTCCTCACTAAGGAGTTACTGACTGATGATGCATACAGCATGAACTGAGCCCTGTGGGCTGTACCATTTTTGTTGGAAGTAGAGATGCCAGTCCTCATGTACCAGCTGGTTCCTGAAGTGTCACCTCCACTGGGAGGTTCTAAGTGATGGATGGCACAAAAGGTGATCAGACCCCTATCCCAGTGGCTCCCTCACTGCCTGCCCTGATGGGCCTGTGAGGTCTTACTCTGTATCGTAGCATTGTAGGTGGGCACATTGTGGATGAGGTAGGGAGCCTTGATCTAGCTTGACCTAGCTTGGTCTAGCTTAGTCTAGCTTTGAGAGGAGCTGCTGGTGCTGCTGTGGGCTGGGACCCCAAAGGCATCTTTCCAGTTGATTAGCGCTCACTCCACTCCAATGTCCTGTGTCCTCTTGTCAAGGCAGATCAGGAGTTCTTGGGAAACTGCTGAAACTCATTGTGAGGATTAGCCTTCTCCAGCACCCTGTGAAAGACCAGACAGAGGGACCAGGTTTGGCATGGGAGACTCTCAGCTTCTATCTGAAGAAATGACACAGTCTGTGCTTGAGTGGGCTGGTAGTCCCCTCCCCCAGATAGTCCTCTCCTACCCACCCCTCAAGCTGAGAGGTAGAGGACAATGACCCAAGGACAGAGGGCTCTGGACAATGGCCTCTTAAGGCTGTAGGAAGGGAAGTCAGTGAGCCAGGCTGTGAGCCCAGCCACAAGTAGCCGAGCAAACTTTCTGGGCTTCCCTTAGCGTATTTTTGCCACTCTAGTCCCATCTCAAAAATAGGTATGGAGGAGTACGTGGGGAACTGGGGATGAAAAAACAGCCTTGCCAAGAAGCAACGTTAGTTTGATCCTTCCCACACCTCCAGCTTACCCTTGGGGAATGGCTCCCAGGAATTAGGCAGTCATCTGCAAGGGGGGAAGTCAGCCTGGGACTAAGCCTGGGATAAAGGGTTCTATCATGAGCATGGGTTCAGGGACCTGCATTCATTACCCGATCAGAATGGCTGGGATGAAAAGAAGGCCAGCACCCAGGAGGAAGGGGAACCCTTTCATGAAGTTCAGCGTGGCTGGGTAGAGTGAGTTGAAGATGCCAGAAGCTGCTAACATGGCCAAGCCATTCACACAGGCCACAGCAGAAAAGAGAGCACCTGTAAAGAAAGAAACACCACACTCTGGAGTCTGAAAGATGCCAAATCCTGGCGTCACTACCTGACAGCTGGGGAACCTCTCAAGGTCTCACCTTCCTCATCTGTAAATCACACCCAGGCTCATGCTATGATAGTCAATGAGGTCATGGAAAGCACCTGCTCAGCTGCTGCTGTTAGCTGCCATTGAGTCGACTCCGACTCACGGCGACCCCCTCCCTGTGTGCAGAACTGCTCTACAGGGTTTCCAAGGCTGTGATCTTTTGGAAGCAGATTGCCAGGCCTATCCTCCCAAGTACTTCTAAGTGCTTCTAGGTGGGTTCAAACTGCCAACCTTTCAGCTAGCAGTAAAGCACTTAACTGTGTCACCCAGGAACTTCTCAACCTGTTATGCACTACATACTAAATAAATGACTGCTATCAAATTCACTACTAGAAGTACCTGTGCCATCTTCTTAAGGAAAACCTGACAGAAATGGTTTCTCATTTATCTTCTTTGGAATTATCTCCTTTTTGGGATTAATTGCTGGTTTGATTCCCAGTTCTAACACTTATTAGCTGTATGATCACTGAAAAAGTCACTTGTCCTCTTGGGAGTTTCTATTCCCCCTTCTGTTAAATAAGGATAATACCTACTTCATGGATTGTCAACAATATTATGTTTACATGTAAAGCACCTATCACTGAGCCTGGCCCCTTAGTAGGGCTGTTCTTTTCTCCTGTTCCCCATGGCATCTCCGGGCACAGTGAAGGTGACAGAAAAAGCTTACTGAGTGAATAAATGAAGGCACATGGATTCTGAAAACAACAGAACCCATGGTGGGCTGTGTATGGCACTAGGATTTCTATCATCATCAAATTCTTCTTCCAGGGCAGCTGGGAAAAGTGGATGTTTCCAGACTGGGGTCCAGATACCCAGAGGCCTGAGACTGTCCACTGTAGATATGCCAGCAGATGCCAAATTTGCAAAATGAACAACAACCCAAGAGAAGCTGACATTAAACTCAAAAGACTTCAGACAAATCATTTTACAGATGAGGAAACTAAGGCCCAGAGACAGAAAGGGACCTGTCCAAGATCACACAACCAGTGGGTGACAGAGCCAGGACTTAAAGCCAGATCCCCAGGTCCACTGCTCTTCACAACAGACCTGGGTTTTCACCCTAGCTCCACCACTCACTGAATGGCCTTGAGTAAGTCAATTAAACCCTTGGGCCTTTGCTTCTTCCTCTGTCAGCTAGGGACAGTAACTACTTTACAAGGCTGCCTACTTCCTCTGAGCTTATACCCTTGAACCCAGTGAAGCAGGGAAGCCTAGCATCATCACATCCATTACAGATGGGAAAGCAGAGGTCAGAAGAGTAAATCCCTTATTCCAGTTACCTACAAACCAAAAACCAAAACCAAACTCACTGCCGTTGAGCCGGATCCGACTCATAGTGACCACTCCTTGGGTTTCTGAGACTATCACTACGGAAGTAGGTTGCCCAGTCTTCCTTCGGAGGAGTGCCTGGTGGGTTTGAACCGCCAACCTTCTGGTTAGCAGTCAAATGCCTTAGGCACTATGCCACCAGAGCTCCTAGTTACCTACAAGGAATATAATTTTGTTCTGCTGACTGAAGATCCCAACTATGTGGTCTGAAAAGCCAAGGAACTGTGGTCCTCATACAGCCCCAGGCTATCTGACAGAAGTGTATTTATCTTCCCACTTCTCTAGGGTGGGAGGGAGAAGGTAAGCTGCCCCCAGTCTACGGCAGTCCATCTGCCCAGCTCAGGCAGCATCAATCAGAAGCAGGTTGATCCTGACACTTACCGTGCTCCGACTTGCTCACCAGCTTGGAGAGCTTGGCCCGGATGACAGGTGTAGTGACTAACGACAGGAAGAAGAGCCCATATCCTGTGAAGAAATAAACAATCATCAGGAAAATGGGGTTGGGGAGAGGATGCCCCAGTAAGAGACTATACATACCCTATTCGGGACTCAGGTTAGACACAGGAGAACTTCCTTGATAGTGAGGGTGGAAAGACAATGACCAAGGAGGAATCATGACTACTTTCAAGGGCTGGCCCATCTGCTGTATCTCTCATGAATGAACACTGACTCCCCAATTGCTTTCTTTCCAGAACACTTCTCATGGTCCCAGCATGCATCAACCACCCCACTTAGCACTTGGCAGGGAGATGCCAGGCACAGAAAACAAGAAAGGGCTCCGGAGTCAGGCTTGAGTTCAAATCCTGATGCTACTGCTTACAACTGTGTGACCTTGGATACTTAACCTTTCTGAGCCTGACTCTTTATAAAATGGGGATTAAAGACCTTTACCTCAGGATGGGGGAGCTCTGGTAGCATAGTGGCTAAGGCACTTGACTGCTAACCAGAAGGCTGGCAGTTCAAACCCACCAGCCACTCCTCGGAAGGAAGATGGGGCAATCTACTTCCGTAGTGATACTGCCTCGGAAACCCAAGGAGGGGTCGCTATGAGTCTCGTCTGACTCGACGGCACATAACAACCACCACCACCACCACCTCAGGATGGTTCTGAAGTGTGGTATGTTGACTAACAGCTACCCCGAAACATCAAGTCCTAATTCCTGGAACATGTAAATGTTACCTTATTTGGAAAATGGGTCTTTGCAATTGTTAAGGATCTTGTGATGGGGAAGATTATCCTGGGCCCTAAAGGTAATCAAATGTATCCTTGTAAGAATGAAGCAGAGAAACGTATGACAGAGGAAGAGACACACAAGGGGAAGGGGCAACATGACCACTGAGGCAGAGAGAGAGATGCAACCACAAGCCAAGGAATGCTGGCAGCCACCAGAAGGTGGCTGAGACAAGGAACAGGTTCTCCCCTAAGTCTCTAGAGGGAGTGTGGCCCTGCTTACACCTTGATTTCGGATTTCTGACCACTAGGACTGTGAAGGTAGCTCTGGTAGCATAGTGCCTAAGGCACTTGACTGCTAACCAGAAGGCTGGCAGTTCAAAACCACCAGCCACTCCTTGGAAGGAAGATGGGGCAATCTACTTCCATAGAGATACTGCCTTGGAAACCTAAGGAGGGGTCACTATGAGTTGAGTCTGACTCGACAGCACATAACAGGACAGTGAAAGAACAAATTTCTGTTGTTTTAAGCTACCAAGTTTGTGGTCATTTTTACAGCAGCCACAGGAAAGTAATCTATGTGGTAACAAGGAAGCATCCATGAGGAACAAGACATAGTAAACCAAAAAACCAAACGCAATGCCAGTGAGTCAATTCCAACTCATAGCAACCCTCTAGGACAGAGCAGAACTGCCCCAAAGGGTTTTCAAGGCTAGATCATTACAGAAGCAGACTGGCTCATTTTTCTTCTGAGGAGCAGCTGGTGGGTTCAAACTGCTGACCTTTTGGTTACCTGCCAAATGTTTAACCACTACACTCCCAGAGCTCCTTAAGGCATAAAAACCATACAGTGAAAAGTGACCTCCTTTTCCCTTTCCATGTAGTTACCCACAGGCTTACACTGTTTTCTCCATAATCATTTCTCTCCTTTGTGTGACTGTTACTTCCTCAGCAAAACTGTGACCTTCTAGAGGACAGGGTCCTTATATCCAACACAATGGGTATAAATTGTGATGACTCAGGGTCTCTCCAGGTGTCATGAGACCTCACTCTAATGAGACCCCCAGAGCAGCAACTGTGTTTTCATCATCTCAGCAACCCCCAGATCATTTAGCTCACCCAGCACCTAGTGCAGGGAGATTCTGTGGGTGTGAATCAAAAGTACCTGGTCCCCTTCAGCTTCACTGTACCGGCAAGCAACTGAGTCAAGAAATCTGTTTGTGATTACTGAACAGTTGATTTTGTACACAACACATTTTAGGTCTATCTCAAAATCATTCTGTCACTTTAAAAAAGATAACTTCCTCATTCCCATGCCAGTCTCAGCCCGGAGGATTTAAGTCCACCCAACCCCTCCCCCAAAAAAGAAGTACGTAGAAATTTCATATTTGTATTTGTGGTCCGAGGAGACTGGCTTCTTTAAAACTCCAAAGAGGTTGACCGAGGCTATGTCAGGCCCTGTGATTCTTATCATAGAAGTGAGCACTGAGGCATTAATGGCGTGGACTTTGTTTAAGAACACCATGAACAGGCGGAGGAGGCCAAGGGAAGAAGCAATTACTGTATGAACCATTCTTCGGTATCTTTTATGGTTGATAATGTGGATTAATCACTTTGGCTACTGAAGGTCTGTATTTTCAGTATATCAAAGACAGCATTGTTGGGGGTTTCTTAGCTGCCCTCCCCTTGTCTGTTTGTCTGTCCTCCAGTGCAGGTTGAGGGCAAAATGCTTTTTTTCCAAAGATAGGAGCCCCATTTAGGGGCAGAGTGGGACAAGCTGTCTCCGAGCCCACACACTTTACCTGTGAATACGAGGGGTGTGATAGTAGCAAAGGCAAAGACCACCATCCCCAGGATGTTGAAGGCCAGGCCGATCTCGGCCACCCAAGTGTCAGCCAGACAGTACTGAAGGAGCCGCAGGCCGAGCAGGCTGGTGAGGTACTGGAGATGGTGAGCTGCAGAGCCATAACCAATGAGCTTGGAGTCCCAGCACAGGGGTGCACTCAGCTCGTAGATGGTCATGATGTCCTGGACCCCAAAGTGCACAGTGATTACAAGGAAGACAGCCAAGGAATACAGGGCTAAGTGCTTCCTGGACTTCTCCAAGGATGGTGTCACATAGAGCTGGAAAATGGAGCGGTGGTGGCGGAGCGTGAAGAGCCGGGCAGGTGTTAGCTCTTTCACCGTCTCACCGAAGCAGAATGCTGCATAGAGAGTCATGGCTATTAGCAGAGCCAAGGCCAGCCAGAAGGGGTTGGCATAACCCTGGGCCCGCAGCCAGTAGCCCCCAAGAAGGCTCGCCAGCATCCCCGCCACCCCGATGCATGCTTCCAGCAGGGCCATTCGGAAGGTGCGGCTGCGACTGGAGCTGACATCTGCCACAGAGGCAAAGCCGGCAGCCAGGAGCCCACTGAAATCGCCGAAGAGGGCACAAAGGATGCGGCCCAGCACAAAGTAGCCGACGTGGAGCTCCAACTGTACCACAAAGATGGACACCACAGTCTGCAGCAGCAGGCTGAAGGAGGCCAGCACCAGCAGTGGGCGGCGGCCCACACAGTCACTCCAGGCCCCCAGCAGGGTGGACGAGAAGAGGCCCACTAGGAAGCCACCCAAGTTCATGTAGAGGGTCCAGTGAGAGGTGAGGGTCTCCACTTCCTGTAGGGGCATAAGCCTTAGTAGGGTCCCATTCCTCATTCTGGGTTCTCCACCCCACAAAACATTACCATCCTGGGAGCTATGGAGAAGAGGATTATCTTTGGAAAGAAAGAACCTTAAAACTTTCCTTGGAGCCCATGTGGGAAATGGGCCAAGATTCCATTCCCTCAGCTTTATCCCCTTCTACTAACCTTCAAGGCCGTGCATTATGGTTCTTCGTCAGGCCCCAACTTTGCCCTGGCCCTGACCCACAGCCCCGTATCCACACTCCTCAGGGGCCTCCCACCTTCTAAGAGACCTCGCTGCCCCCTTAGCTGCCCTTTAACCCCGGCACCGCCCCCTCCACGCTCGTCACCAGTCCCCCGCTACTCTCCATCACCCTTACCTGCATCATGGGGTTCACGGTGTGGTTGCTACAGCTACCCCTGTCGCGGGTGCCATTGTAGCCGAGGTCAGTACTGAATCGGTGCCAGAGATACTGCGTGGTGACCGGGCCCTGCAAGACCAAGGCAAAGTTGGCAAGGAAGATGATCGGTTCCACGGGGCCTCGGAACAGCACGGCCACAGCGGAGCGGACGCGCGGCTCACCCGGGGGTCCCGCGTGTCCCTCCATGAGCTTGCGCTTTGGGGCAGGCGCGTGGCGAGCGGCGGGGCTTCCGCGGTACTTGTTTCTCCCAACCAGCGGCACCAAACTCGGACCAGCACAGTCTGCGCCTGCGCCCAGTGCCCCTCTTGGAAAACTTGGAGAGGCGGGGCCTGGGGCCTGCAGTCCCTCTCTTTTTTGCTCCTCCCGCTCAGGGCTGGGTGTGGGCAGGCTAGGGGCCCTCGCACCATTGGCCCTCAAGGTGAGCTCACCTGCAAAATGTGCAAAGATACCGCCCTGAATCCCTCACTCTTAAGCCCAGAATTGCTCATAACAATAACAAGAATATCAAAGTTGTTAGGTCCTGTGGAGTGGTTTCTGACTCATAGTGACCCTATCTATACACAACAGAACTAAACACTACCTGGTCCTGCACCGTTCTCACAATTGTTGCTGTATTTAAGCCTATGGTTGCAACCACTGTGTCAATCCATCTCGTTTAGGGTCTTCTTCTTTTTCACTGACTCTCTACCCAGTATGATGTCCTTTTCCAGGGACTGGTCCCTCCTGATAACATGTCCAAGGTATGTGAGAGGAAGTATCACCACCCTTACTTCTAAGGAGCATTCTGGCTGTACTTCTTCTGGCCAAAAACCAAACCAAAGTCACTGCTGGCAGTCCGTGTATATTCAATATTCTTCACCAACACCATCATTGAAAGGCATCAATTCTTCTAGGAACTTCATTCGTTCATTGTCCAGCTATCACATGCATAGGAGGCAATTGTAAATAGCATGGCTTGGGTCAGGCTCACCTTAGGTCCTCAGAGTAACATCTTTTCTTTTTAACCCTTTAAAGAGGTCTTTTGTATCAGATTTCTCCAATGTTACGTCGTTTGATTTCTTGACTGCTGCTTCCATGGATGTTGATTGTGGGTGAAAGTGAAATGAAATTCTTAAATTTCTTCTCGGTTTATCAAAATGTTGCTTATTGGTCCAGTTCTGAAGGTTTTCTTTATGTCAAAAGTTATAGTCTTTGATCTTCATCACTAAGTGCTTCCAGTCTGCTGTGTTTTCAACAAGCAAGGTTGTTAATGAATCTTCCTCCAAACCTGATGCTGCATTCTTTTTCATATAGTTCAATTTCTTGGAGTATTTGCTCAGTGTACAAATTGAATAAGTATGGTCAAGGATACAATTTTAAACCACACAATATCCCCTGGTTATGTTCAAATGACTGTCCTTTGCTGTATGTGCAGGTTCCTCCAGAACACAATGAAGTGTTCAGGAATTCCCATTCTTTGCAATGTTATCCATAATATGTTAGGATCCACATAGTCAAATGCCTTTGCATGGTCAATAAAACATCTCTTAGGTATTCTTTGCTTTCATCCAAGAGCCATCTGACATCAGCAATGATATCCCTCATTCCAATTCCTCTTCTGAATCCAGCCTGAATCTCTGACAATTCCCTGTCCGTGTACTACTGCAACCATTTTTGAATTATATTCAGCAAAACTTTACTTCTTTGTGATATTAGTGATACTATTCAGTAATTTCCACATTCTGTTAAATCATCTTTCTTTGGAACGGGCATAAATATGGATCTCTTCCAGTCACTTGGCCAGGTAGCTGTCTTCCAGATTTCTTGGTATAGATGAGTAAGCACTTCCAGTGCTGCATCTGTTTGTTGAAACATCTCAGTTGGTGTTCCATTAATTCCTGGAGGCTAGTTTTTCACCAATATCTTCAGTGCAGCTTGGGTTTCTTCCTTCAGTGCCTTTGGTTCTTGATCACATGCTGCCTCTTGACATGGTTGAACACTGACCAATTCTTTTTGGTACAGTGATTCTGTATATTCCTTCTATCTTCTTTTGATGCTTCCTGAGTCATTCAATATATTGCCCATAGAATCCTTTTATATTGCAACTCAAGGCTTCAATTTTTTGTTCTGTTCTTTCAGATTGAGAGCCCCAGAGACTGGTGACTTACCTATAGAGAACTAAAAAGTCCTACCTTTTCAAATCCCTGGAGGAAAGAGGACACAATTGTAGAGAAAAATAATTGAAAACCTAACTTAAAAGACAAACAACATAGTCCTTCAAAACAATCAAAGGATAAATATTTTAACCTTAGTTGATAACAACATCAAGATCCCTCCCCTATAACAATCATGCACCGAGATGTCAAACCATAGAACCAGGTCTGTGAGACACACATGTAATGTCTTTTCCAGCTTCCAGATAACCAGGGCAATCAACACTGTGCCTTTGCTTTATGTTCTTTGGGGCCAGCACATTACCAGAGATTTAGTTTTATATAAGAATCCCCAAAGCCAGTAACACAAGCTGCTGAGGGACTGTACATTTCAGGAAATAATTTGGCAGTATGTATCAAGACCCTTAAAACCAAACCAACTGCTATTGAGTTGATTCTGATTCATAAAGACCCCATGTGTGTCACAGAAAAATCATGCTCTTTTTTTTTTTTTTTTTTTTTGGCTATGCCAAGTACTTTTATTAAAGAAAGCTAGGGTTACTGATGAGTTGGCATTGGGGCCCTTCTTCTTGCCAAAGGTGGGCATGGCATCGATGAAACACCAGTTGGACTGCATCTACCACATGGCTTTGCTGGTCTTCTCCTGTTTGGCCACGTCGGCAGTCTGACCTCTCACTTTCCCAGCACGAGTCCAGGAACCATAGACTTTACCTCCAAGCATTCTGCCAGCTGCTTTCAGAGTGGTCAGGGCCTGCACCCCACACTGGCCCAGGGTAGCCTCATCCTCCACAGATGTGCCTGCCAGGAGCGTGACTTGATCTTTGGGGCGATGCCTTCCAGTAATACTATATGAGCCTTGACCTGGCTTACTATCTCCTGGTTGGTCACCTCAAGGGTGTGTGGCTCCTGGGCATGAGCAAAGAGCTGTATGTCTACAAGTGAAGTGTGGCCCTTGCTCCATAGGGTTTTCAAGGCTGATTTTTTGGAAGTAGATCACCAGGCCTTTCTTCCAAGGCACCTCTGGGTAGATTCAAACCTCCAACCTTGTGGTTAGCATCTGAGCAAGTCAACCATTCGCACCACCCATGAAGAGACTTACATTCTTTAATTCCTCATTCGTGTCTCTATCCTAAGGTAATAATCTGAAGTACAGAAATATTACTGACAATGTTGTTGTTGTGATATGCCATCAAGTCAGACCCGACTCATAGTGACCCCTGCTTGGGTTTCCAAGGCAGTATCACTATAGAAACAGATTACCCAATCTTCCTTCCAAGGAGTGCTGGTGGGTTTGAACTGCCAGCTTTCTGGTTAGCAGTCAAGTGCCTTAGGCACTACTGACAATGTTGTTGCTGTTATGTGCCATCAAGTTGCCCCAACTCATAGCAACTCCTCCTTGGGTTTCCGAGACAGTATCACTATAGAAGTAGATTGCCCAACCTTCCTTCTGAGGAGTGGCTGGTGGGTTTGAACCACCAGCCTTCTGGTTAGCAGTCAAGTACCATAGGCACTATAATACTAAATTTGGACTTGTCCAGCAGTGGGAAAATGAAAGAATGATTTACAGTATATCTACTCAATGGATCTTAGCCATTAAAATGATATATTCAAAGAGACTGTAATAACATAGAAAATGTTTGTCATATTTTTTATGTGAAAAAAGAGACCTTTTTATATGATATAGAAAAAAATTGCACTAAGACTGGAAGACAAGTATTAAAATATTATCAGAAGTTTCTCTGTATAGTGAGGTGATACAAGAATTTCTTTTCTTCTTTTTAAAATAGTTTCAACTCTTTTAATATAAACATGTGTTTTTATAACAGAAAAACATAAAAATTAAAAATATCTGATGATATTCCTTTACATAAAATCTATGCTGGTTTAATTGTCTAAGATCTGTTTCACGTCCCTTGGGTTCTTTCTGGATCCTAAGCCCTAGTACATGTTGGTCCCTTTGCCAGGAAAACTTTTCTTATCTTGCTTGGTCTATTAAACTCCTAATTACCCTTCAAAACCCAACTCTGTGTCACCTTTTTTAGGTAGAATTAATCACTCTACATATGAGCCTCTACAGTACTGTGTTCATACCTTTAACCCTAGTTTTACACAGGTTTGCAACCTGACTGTAGATATTTATTTACTTATTTGCCTCCTTCCAAACCTTACCAACATCCTGCTTCCAGATTTGAGGGCAGAGACAATGTTTTCTTCATCTTTGTATTCCCTAGGACTGTGCCTGGCATGCAATAGGATGAAAATGGTAAATGGATTTCATGTCATGCACCAACTCCGGTCAGTTAATTGCAGCTGCCTTGATTGCTGCATTGAGTACAACTATTACTCCTCTTGGTGAGAAGAATCCAGTGATCAGTTAGTCTGCCCTGGGCTCAGGAACGATAAGTATTAGCACTGACAGTATTTGTCCAACCCTAGACATATTTTAGTTTTGTTGCTCAATAAGTTGTGTTGAGAGACTTTGGGGAAGTTTCTAAAAGCTGTAACGCAAACGCAACCACTGCTGTGGAGTCAGATCCGACTCATAGCGACCCCTCGTTGGGTTTTCAAGGCAGTATCACTACAGAAGTAGATTGCTCAACCTTCCTTCCGAGGAGTGGTGGGTTTGAACCACCAGCCTTCTGGTTAGCAGTCAAATGCCTTAGGCACTATGCCACCAGAGCTCCTTCTAAAAGCTATAAGGATCTCTTTTTTCCTAGGCAGGTAATGCTTATAAAAGACAGACCTTACAACCATTATTAACAGCAAGAGAAATGATTGGAACATGGAATTCTTCAAACATACGGCCGTCTTTCTTTTTTTTTTTTTTTTTTTTTTTTTTTTTTTTTTTTTTTTTTTTTTTTTTTTTTTTTTTTTTTTTTTTTTTTTTTTTTTTATTAGGATTTGGGTGAAGATTTACAGAGTAAATTCACTTTTCATACAGCAGTTCACATATACTTTGTCTCATGTCATTGACCAAAATTTACAATGCAGCAGCTCCCCTCCCACTTCCTCCCCATAGTTACCTCCTCCCAG